ATTTTAACCCTTTTGACAAAAATTTATTGGAACAATATGGACAAGAAATCTTGAGTCTAGTGACTTTCTTGATACGGTTCAGGATTGCTTTTTAGAACAGGTTGTGACAGAACCAACTAGAGGAAACAATCTGCTTGACTTGGTTCTTGCCAACAAAGATTCACTAATTAATAATCTTGAGGTTAATGATGAGCTTGGGGAAAGTTTATCACAAATCACTTAGTTTCAATATTCATGGAATTACCCAGATAATTGCAATCCCAAATCTCTGTCCCAGATTTTCGCTTGGCTGACTTCATGGGACTGAAAAATTACTTGGGTGGGCTAAATTGGGATGCCCTAACTATGGGTCAGGTAGGTGATCTTGGTTGCCAATATGACATTTTTTCAGAGCATGGTTCTAGCTGCCCAGAAAAACTTTTGTTCCGAGTAGGGAAATTAGATCTAACAAAAATGATCCCAAATGGATGAACAATAGATTAAAACATCTCACTGGTCAAAAGAGAGGCATATAAGGCATATCAAAAGGGGGGGGGGCAGTTAAGAAATAATATATTCAATTAAAGAGAGAAATAAAGAAAGGAAAAAGAAAGCAAGAAGAGATTATGAGGCTAAGGTCGCAAGGGATTCAAAGACAAACCCAAAGGGTTCTTTCAGGTATACAGAAGTAAGATTAGGGACAAGACTGGCCCACTTAAGAGTAACTCTGGTCAGATCACTGACAGTGATAAGGATATGTGTGTGAAATTTCTAAATACCTATTTTCCTCTCAGTTTTCACCCAGGAAAAATACTAGTGATATTCCTGAAATAATAGATTACATAGAACAGGATGATAATAAACTATGTACGATTGCGGTAACTAGTGACATGATCCTCAGACAAATCCCCAGGTCCTGATGAACTGTTTGCAAGGGTGTTAAAGGAATGTAAAGAGGAACTTAGCATACCTTTGGCTAATCTTTTTAACATATCACTACAAACGGGCATATTTGCCTGATAAGGGGGAAAATGGTAAATGTAATACCTATTTACAAGGCAGGTGACAGGTCCTTGGCTTTGAACTATAGACCAATAAGCCTTACCTCCATAGTGGGAAAATTTATGGAATCAATAATTGCCGAAGCAATTCGTAGCCATCCTGACAGACACAGATTGATTAATGATACTCAACACGGTTTTACAAAGGGGCTTTCCCTGTCTTACGAATTTACTAACTTTTTTCATTTAAGGTGTTTGAGGAGGTAGATCATGGTAATGAATATGATATTGTGTATATGGACTTCAGTAAGGCTTTCGTTTAGATTTCCCCACACCAGGGCTATTGAGGAAACTTAGGGCACACGGAATAGGAGGAGAAATTTTTTCCGGGGTAGGGGCATGGCGGGACAAATAGACAGCAGAGAGTTTGCATAATGGGGAGAAATCAGAATGGGGGCACGTCACAAACGGTGTTCCTCAGGGGTCAGTGTTGGGCCTGGTTTTTGTTCACCAATTTGCATAAACGACATAGATGAGGGAAAATAAATAGCGACATAAGCAAATTTGCTGATGACACCAAAAATAGGCCGTCCAATTCATTCTAATGAGGACATTTGAGCACTCCAGGATGATTTGAATAGACTGACGCAATGGTCGGAGAAGTGGCAGATGCAGTTTAATATTGACAAATGCAAAGTTCTAAATGTTGGACAGTTAAATAACCATGCCAATATAAACTAAATAATGTAGATCTTAATACTACGATTTCGAAAAGGATTTAGGAGTTTTGGTTTGCAATAACCTAAAACCAAGGACAACAGTGCATTAGTGTTCGCAATAAAGCTAACAGAATTCTTGGCTTCATATCTAGAAGTATAAATAATAGAAGTCCTTTAGGGGTTTTTCTTCAACTCTATATGTATATCCTTGGTTAGGCCTCATTTAGACTATGCAGCTCAGTTCGGGTCACCGTATTACAGAATGGATATAAATGCTCTGGAAAACATACAAAGGAGGATGACAAAGATGATCCCATGTATCAGAAATCTTCCCTATGAGGATAGACTGAAGGCCCTGAATCTGCACTCTCTCGAAAGGCGTAGAATTAAGGGGGATATGATCGGGTGTATAAATGGAAAACAGGAAAAAATTTAAAGGGGATGTAAATAGTGTGCTGAAAATTTCCAGCCAAGACAGGACTCGTAGCAATGGTTTCAAGTTGGAAAAATTTAGATTCAGGAAGGATATAGGAAAGCACTGGTTTGGTAATAGAGTTGTGGATGATTGGAACAAGCTCCCGGGTACAGTTATTGAGGCTAAAACGTTGTGTAGTTTTAAAAATAGGTTAGATAAATACATGAGGGGGTGTGGGTGGGTGTGAGTTGGACCTGACTAGCTTGTGCTGCTGGGTCTGGTACAGTGCTCTATCCTTGACTGGGGATGACCAGACTGGGTGGGTCATTGGGATAATCCGGGGGTTGGGTCATTGGTCTAATCTGGGGGGGGAGACATGGACCTGCTCCACATGGGTCAGTAGGCCTGTTCCAGTGTTCCTTCTTTCTTATGTTCTTATACTCTCCAGGTCAGCAATTTCACCTGCCTTGAAGGGGGCAGTTAGTATACAGCAGTATTCCAGCCTAGAGAGAACAAGCAATTTGATAGCAACATTTATAAAAGAACCTAGGTAGTAAGTTGGTAAACAGCAGCCACCCAGGGAGGTAATACCATCCTGCCAAGTGAGTGTAAAACGAAAGCCTGTAATTGTTTTACACAATGGTAGGATTGCTGGTGTCTTTTTATTCTGTCTCATACACATGCAAGATTTCAGGTACGTCTTGCTACTTCTATTTACACTTAGGTCACACTTCACATACTTGTACAAGCATATATATACACACCCCTCTGGGTTTTCTTCTATTTTCTTTCTAGTTCTTGTTCTTGTTTATTTCCTCTTACCTCCATGGGGAAGTGGAACAGAATTCTTCCTCCGTAAGCCATGCGTGTTATAAGAGGCAACTAAAATGCTGGAAGCAAGGGGCTAGTAACCCCTTCTCCTGTATATATTACTAAATATAAAAGGGGAAACTTTCATTTTTCCTTTTGGGCCACCCCACCTCAGTGGGATACGGCCGGTGTGTTGAAAGAAAGAAAGATTTATAAAAGAATCTAGGTAGTAAGTTGGTAGACAGCAACCACCCAGGGAGGTACTACCGTCCTGCCAAGTGAGTGTAAAACGAAAGCCTGTATTTGTTTTACATGATGGTAGGATTCCTGGGGTCTTTTTTCTGTCTCATAAACATGCAAGATTTCAGGTATGTCTTGCTACCTCTACTTACACTTAGGTCACACTACGCATGCATGTACAAGCATATACAGTGGACCCCCGCCTTAAGATATTAATCCGTTCCTGAGAGCTCATTGTAAGCCAAAATTATCGTTAGCCAAATCAATTTTCCCCATAAGAAATAATGGAAATCAAGTTAATCCGTTCTTGACACCCAAAAGTATGAAAAAAAAAAAATTTTACCACATGAAATATTAGTTTTAATACACACAAACTGAAGAAGACATGCACAATTACTACACTACTAAGAATAGAATACATGACACTTACCTTTATTGAAGATCTGGTGATAATTGATGGGATGGGAGGAGGGGAGAGTGTGGAAGTTATTGTTTAGAAGGGGAATCCCCTTCCATTAGGACTTGAGGTAGCAAGTCCTTTTCCGGGGTTACTTCCCTTCTTCTTTTAATGCCACTAGGACCAGCTTGAGAGTCACTGGACCTCCCGTCACACAACAAAACTGTCCATAGAGCTCTGTACCTTCCCCTTCCTTTAAGACTTTCCTAAAATGGGCCATAACACTGTCATTGTACAGGTTTGCCAAAACGGCTTGCAGTTTGCTGTGTCGGGTGATTTTTTATCTGTAAAGGTTTGCAGTTCAACCCACTTTGCACACATTTCCTTAATCTCTTTTTTCAATTCCATACTAATTCTTGCCCTTTTTACCCCAGGGATGGCACTAGAAGCTTTCTTGGGGTCCATGGTGATTTATTTTGCAGTTACAAGCACTAAAAACACTGGGATAATGTGAAATGTACCGAATGTATGTGTAGATGTGACTGCACTGGCTGGCTTGTAAACACTGGCACTGAGGCCACACGTGGGATGTGTCCCAGGTGAATCACGTAAGGCGAGTTTTTTATTGTGAGGCGAGGCAAAATTTTTGTGTTCAAATGCTTCATATGGCAGATTTAATGTAACACGATGTGTTCGTAAGGCGGGGTCCACTGTATATACACACCATTCTGGGTTTTCTTCTATTTTCTTACTAGTTTCTTTTCTTGTTTATTTCCTCTTATCTCCATAAGGAAGTGGAACAGAATTCTTCCTCCATAAGCCATGCGTGTCATAAAAAGTGACTAATATGCCAGGAGCAAGGGGTTAGTAACCTTTTCTGTATACATTACTAAAGTTAAAAAGAGAAATTTTTTTTTTGGGGGGGAGCCACCCTGCCTCAGTGGGATATGGCCAATTTGTTGAAAGATTTATAAAAGAAACATTACAAATCACAGAAAAAGGAAATAAAGAAGTTAGCAGTGTGTACAAAGACTAGGCCACAACTAGTGAATGGAGGCTCATGCCTGACCCTCCTTATGCTGAATAACCCACAAACAAGGGCCTTAGGACCTCAATGGAAATAAGTTATCCTAGGTAATCTACACATATGCTGTTATGTAAGATAATTTATATAACCATTGATGTGTGCTTATACCTGAATAAACTTGCTTACTTACATTATAAAATACATTACAACTATAAGTTAAAGAAATTAAAATATATAGTAATACAAATTATATCTACTGACTAGAAAAAAGCTGTAACACAGACAAAATACTGTCAATAATATAGTCCCTTTTACTGCATTTTAGTGTGCTTTATCAACATTTTAAAGTACACTCTACAGAATAGACTAGAAATCGCAATCTTGCCAGTTTATTTAGCAGAGTTCTACTTGCCTGTAGTGTTAATGTAGAAGATGAAGCAGTCTCTCCGTTATAAGAGCAACTGTCCCTAGAGTCAGTCTTCTCAAAGACTTATCTGTCTTCAGTGATGCATCTTCCTCTGTAGTTTTGCACATATCAGCATTTTTCATGTGTGTCTGACTGAAGAGATCATCCTGAGCTTCACACTTCTTGATAGTATCAATGTTGACATCTTCCATAGTAGTCTGTCGGGTACCATTCTTCACAATTTCACCCACTGGCACCTCTGTCGAGATTTCTCTTTGTATCTTCTCTTTTTACTTCTGCTGAAGATTAAGGGCTCACAACATTCAAGTCTTTTACTTCATTTTCTTCTAAATTAGGTTCAGCCTTAGATATGTTTGACCCTGTTAAATCATTACTTTGAAAATTATCACATACTGTACTACGTATTGCTAGGTGAAGTAGTTTCTTAATGTTTTTGTACCACTATCCCAGTACAGTCATACCCTGCTTTATATCAATTCGGCCTATGTCAAATTCGCCTTTACGCCACTTTTCTAGAATATATTTCAGTTCAGCAAACATCATTACATCTAACTTTGTCACTCAGCAATGTCACCTATGTCATAATTTTTTTAATTGTGTTTTTAGTGTTCTTTAAGGTTTAACAATAATTATATTCATTCACAAGTTATTTATGTTAGTTTTACGGTGTTTGTCATTTTAACCCTTAAACGGTCCAAACGTATATATACGTTCACGAGCGTAGCACCCCAAACATATATATACATTTTCTTTGTCATTCATTCAACATTGCCACGATAAGCCTGAGTCACCCAGACATGAGAGAATGGATGTGCACACTCACTGTGCGCCATATTAAAATAATTGGGGATGCCTGGGCACATATCCTCTTTTTTCCTTTAAAAAAAAAAGATTTGTTTTTTCTCAAAAAATTTGGGGCACTACGCGAGTGAACGTATATATACGTTTGGACCGTTTAAGGGTTAAGGCATTATGTCTAGCTTACGTCAAAAACTGGGTTATATCACGGCTATTGGAACCAATTAATGACACAGGGCAGGGTATGACTGTAGGCCATCAACTATCACACAATCTATTAACACATTTTTGCATTAACATGGTTGAAAAAATTTATCATTAATGTAGAATAAATGTTTGAGAAAATGTGGAATGCTACGAGTTCTTTTCCCTCCATCTTGTGGTGAGTCTTATAGGGGAGGCCTGTTTAAGAACATAAGAAAGAGGGAGCACTGCAACAAGCCTACTGGCCCATGCTAGGCAGGTCCAAGCAATCTACTGGCCCAAGCCAGTCAGGTCCAAGTCACATCCACTTAAGAAGGAAGCAGTACTGTATCAGACCTACTGGTTCAAGCTAGTCAGATCCAACTCAAACTCACCCACACCCACTCATGTATTTGTCTAACCTATTTTTAAAATTACACAGCATATGCAATGTACACAATCTCCCTCATATCAGTTCTTCATGTGCACAAGTCCAATACCATACCTGGCCTGTGTTAATTAATCATTATTTTAACTTTTCATCATCCAATTTAGTCTCTGGATAGAGGAAGCATAAGTGTGAAAGACTTTGTGTTTTGAAGAAAATCAAGATATTAGATCAGATATTAGACATGCCCACCTTCTGCCCACACGATGGAGGATGGGATGGCTGTGGACCGATACTTTCACCCAACATCAAGCCCCAACTTTACCCATCTCCCACAGTTGCCCTTTATCCATACTCTCCCTCCACAATTCTCTCCCCACCATGCTTTCATGGACTTTACTCCTCCACATTAACACCCACCTCTCTCCCAAACACTTGCTCTCACCTGCATATCCTCACTCACATGCCTTTACCCATCCCAACACCAGTGGCCATCTGACCATTCACTTGTGCCACATAGGACGAACAACTGATGATGGGAACATGGAATGACAGTCACAGCATGCATCCACCTGCATCTACTACACTACATATTCCCTACCACAGTAAATGTGTCCCTTTTTCTTAGGGGAAGAGAGAGATGGGTGCCACCCTACTTTGGTGAATGATGAATAGCTAATACGGTAAAAAAAAAATACATACAGTACCATATTCTATATACATATTTCACTACAGAAAAAAAAAGCAATGTAGATTTGGCAAAGCTTTCCAGAACCCAAGATTTGGATAGTAAACCAAAAAAGATACTGAGGAGCTGCTCAAGACAAAAAACACTGCAATGAGTAAGAAGGTGAATAAAAAGCTCGAAGTTCAACAGAGGTGTAGGAAGGTGTATACAAAGCCCCAAGTCCAATAGAGGTGAAGGAAGAAGCATACAAAGCCCCAAGTTTAACAGAGGTGTCACACAAGGAGCAGAGGTGTCACACAAGGAACAGAGGTGTCACACAATGAACAGAGGTGTCATACAAGGAACAGAGGTGTCACACATGAGGCAAACTCACAAACCATCGCAACAGTCACTTGGCTGTCTTCAAGAGGGAGCTGGATAGACACCTAAAGTCAGTACCTGACCAGACGGGTTGTGGTTCGTACATCTATTTACATTTGGCCAGCAGTAACAGCTTGGTTGATCAGGCTCTGATCCACTGCGAGGCCTGGTCATGGACTGGGCCATGGGGGCATTGATCCCCAAAACACCCTACAGGTATACTCCAGGCTCACAGACATGTATTATTATTATTTCATAAACTCGTATCACTCAATCTTTTACAACTTGTCAATTGAAATTTTTTAATGAATGAACTTGTATGATAACATGTAACTTTTTAAACTACATACTATTTTTTTTTTTTTACTTCATGTCAATACCTTGTACAGTGGACCCCCGGTATTTGATGGCATCGGTATTCGATAAATCCGGTTTTCGATGCATTTTAATGCAAAAATTTTTCCTCAGTATTCGATTGAAAACCCGGTATTCGATACGATTCGTACGAGACCTGTCCACGTGTGGCCTGAACTGCTCCGTGTGTGCTAGTGTTTACAAGCCAGCCAGTGTGCGCGCATCTAAGGATACATTCGGTACATTCCATATTATCCATATTATCACTATGTTTGGTGCTTGTTTCTGCAAAATAAGTCACCATGGGCCCCAAGAAAGCTTCTGGTGCCAACCCTTCGAGAAAAAAGTCGCTAATGACTTATGAAATGAAGAAAGAGATAAAATTTCAAAGTACGAAAGTGGAGTGCGTGTGTCGGAGCTGGTCAGGTTGTATAATAAACCCCAATCCAACCATCTCTTTCTATGTGACCAGGGGGAAAACGGCATTAAGGAAGCTGTTCTTGCAAAAGGTGCAACTGTGATTTCGAAACACGACCCCTTTTTGTTA